CGAGCAGCCAACAGACACATGAAGAAATGTTCAACCTCACTAATCATCAGGGAGATACAAATCGAAACCACATTGAGATACCAACTAACTCCAGTCAGAATGGCAATGATCAATAACTCAAAAAATAACAGATCCTGGAGAGGATGTGGTGAAAAGGGAAAACTACTACACTGTTGGGGGGAGTGTAAACTAGTGCAACCTCTGTGGAAAGCAGTGTGGCGATTCCTAACAGTTCTAAATAGCGACCTCCCATATGACCCCACAATCCCCCTACTGGGAATATACCTTGAAGTACTCAAATCCCTCTATCAAAAAGATACCTGCACACGAATGTTTATCGCAGCATTGCTCACTATAGCAAGAACCTGGAACCAACCATGCTATCCATCAAAATAGGACTAGCTTAAAAAAATGTGGTACATATACATGATGGAACATTATGCAGCCATAAAAAAGAACAAAATCATGAATTTCACAGCAACCTGGATGGAGCTAGAATCTATAATACTGAGTGATCTCTCACAGAAACAAAGATCTGAGTATCACATATTCTCACTCATATAGTGGACCTTGAACATCTATCATAATACTAAAAGAAAAGGACTGACAGTGGTGGGAAACTATGGGCGGGAGGGGAAGGGAGGTGGGATTAATGGTAGTAATATCTGTCTGGGGACGGGGAGATGCCCCTTATCAACAAGGGTGCCTGAACGATGCATATCTGTATACCTAACCCTTAACTGTACCTCACAATTTTATAATAAAAAATATGTTAAAAAAAAGAAATTACATTCACAACTTCTCACACTGCTGTGCTGGTGGATACCAATCACCTGCAGGAGAGTTGACACCTTCAAAATTAGGCAATGCTTCACTTCATCTGATGGACACCCGCTGTGGACTTTCAGGCCTATGAAGTAGTGGGAAAGATAGTTAGAAACAGAGAGCCATCGCAGGTCCTCCCATCAGCAGGGAATTGTCATACATTCTCCGTTGTTCCCCCCCCCCCCGGATGCCAAGTTCAGACATGCCTTGGGAATTTACCTGATCTCACCTCTCATGCCTGGAAAGGATCTAAAGTCTGGAACCTTTAAATCTTCCTCCGAAGTCAGGCGCAGTAGCTCATGTTCATAATCCCAGTACTTTGGAATGCCGAAACTGGAGGTTCATTTGAGCCCAGGAGTTTGAGACCAGCCTGGGCAACATAGAAAGACATCATTGCTACAAAAAAAGAAAAAGAAAAAAGGCCAGGCTCAGTGGTTTAGCTTATAATCCCAGCACTTTGGGAGGCCAAGGCAAGTGGATTGCGTGAGCCTGCGGGTTCGAGACCAGCCCGGGCAACTTGATGAGCCCTCATCTCTACAATAAATCAAAAATTGGCTGGGCATGGTAGTTCGTGCCTGTAGTTCCGGCTACTTGGAAGGCTGAGGTGGAAGGATTGCCAGGGCCCAGCAGGTCGATGCTGGGGTGGCTGTGAGCGTGCCACTGCACTCCAGCCTGGGCGACAGAGTGAGTCTCCAATTAAAAATAAAAACAAAAAATTAGCCAGGTGTGGTGTCATGTGCCTGTAATCCATTACTTAGGAGGCTGAGGCAGAAAGATCGCCTGAGCCCAGGAGGTGGAAGTTGCAGTGAGCTATAATTGTGCCACTGCACTCCAGCCTGGGCTACATAGTGAGATTCTGACTCAAAAAAACAAAAAAAACAACAACAACAAACAAAAAACTTCCTCTCTCAGGGACCAGTGAGCTCCGTGTGGACCTGGTGGACTTTGAGGGCAACCACCAATTTGCCAAGTACGCGTCCTTCAAGGTGGAGGGTGAGACGGAGAAGTACAAGCTGGTCCTGGGAGCCTTCGTGGAAGGCACTGCAGGTGCGTGTCCCTTGGGGCCGTGTGGGCGGGGCTTCCAGGTGTGGTCTGGGAAGCCAGCAGAGAGCTTGGCTCTGCCTCCCCTGGTGACTCAGGTTAGAGGGCTCCCTTCTTTGAGCCCAGTTTGTCCATCTCAAAAGCAGACATGGATATCTGCGTCTCTCTTTAGCGTGGGGGTCGTGAGACACACCCATTAACGCTCCTGAGGCTGTGCCTGCCACACGGTGAGCTGTCCCAGTGGGCCTGAGAGGACTGACCATCATCGCTGCTAAAACCTGGAAGGGGGTGGTCATGTCTCCTGGAACCTAGAGCTCTGTTCCCCAAACGGTGTTCCACAGAGCAACAGCCCTGTAGGACATGCTTTTTACCAAAGGGACTCTGGCCCTGTGATTTGGGGAGGCAGATTCTTTCATTAAAGGCACTGAGAAATGCTGCAGTGTGTCATCTATTTAACTGTAGCACAGAGTAAGGCACTCCCTGCAGAGGGGGCCTCTTTGACCATGGACATACACCCCTTTTACAGGCAAGGTCTCATGTGAGATCTCCAAGGAAGGAGGTGATGTGGGGGTGGGGGGGGTGGATCAGTCCCATTTTGTAGATGGAAAGGCTGAGGCTCAGGGGTTGAAAGTGCTGGCCAGCAGGAGACAGAGGTGAGCTTCGTGCTCAGGACTAACACGGCGCAGGATGGGCCCCGGGTGACGGCTGTGCCGTGTCCACCAAGGGGCCACCAGGGAGAAGTCGGAAGTAGGGGTGGAGATGGTTTTGGGGAAGCCCTAGAGGAAACAGGTGAAGGAGAGAGGCAGTGGGTTGTGAGAAGAAATCCCGGGTCAGGAGGTGAGAGATTCGCTTTTGTCCTGCTTCCTCTTCCTCCAAGGCCTGGGTGGGTCACTAAGAGCCTGGACCTCTGCTGACCTTTCTTCTTCTTTTTTTTTTTTGAGCCAGAGTCTCACTCGGCTGTCCAGGCTGGAGTGCAGTGGCGCGATCACAGCTCACCACAGCCTCTATCTCCTGGGCACAGGTGATCCTCCCACCTCGGCCTCCTGTGTAGCTGGGACTTCAGGTGCACACCACCATGCCCGGCTAATTTTTTTATTTCTGTAGAGACGAGGTCTCGCTATATTGCTCAGTCTGGTCTCAAACTCCTCCAGCCTCTGCCTCCCAAATGGCCGGGATTACAGGCGTGAGCCCCCGCACCGGGCCATCTGACTTGTCTTCAAAGTGCAAATGGCACCAATCAGAGGCAGGAGGCAGGGCGAGGTGAGGGCCTCATGACACAAGCGCAGGGCTTTTGCTAGCACCCCCGAAACCCGGACTTCCTCCGAGCAGGTGATTCTCTGACCATCCACAACACCCAGCTCTTCTCCACCAAGGACCGGGACCACGACCGGCAGCATTCTTCGAATTGCGCTGAGCAGTTCCAGGGAGCCTGGTGGTACTCCGACTGTCACTCGTCCAACCTCAATGGCCGCTACCTCGGGGGGGCCCACGAGAGCTACGCCAACGGCATCAACTGGAAGTCGGGGAAGGGGTACAAGTACAGCTACAAGGTGTCGGAGATGAAGGTGCGGCCCGCCTAGCCCCGCGAGGACTCCGCCCACACCTGCCGCGGGAAGACCACGCCCACCGGCGGCCCTGGAGCCTTCCGGGGACCCCAGCCCGCACGCACGCCCGCCGCGCCCCGCGGCCTCGCCTCTGCCCCCCAGCCCTGGAAACGCGCTGCTCGCCCCCACCACAGCCCTGTTTCTAATAAATGCTTGCTCTCTGACAGGCAAGGTGAGATGTGGGTTTCCTGAGCACCTGTGGGGTTGATCATTCCCCGCGTCTGTTGTACAGCTGATTATTCTTTGGAATTGGGGAAGTCAGGAAGAAGTCAGGATGCATGTTTAGCAGACAGGGTTACTGAGGGCCGAAGGCCGGGAGTGGCCTTAGCAGGGACTTCCAACCTCCATTAATTAACAGGGCGAGACCTCCGTCTCTACCTCCGAAGCTCCCTGGTCATCTCACCATGCCAGTTCACACGTTCTTTTCTTTTCTTTTTTTTCATTTCTTTGAAGGTCAGGGTTTTACTTTGTCATCCAGGCTGAAGGACAGGGGCATGAGACCATGGCTTGTCACAGCTTTGACCTCCTGGGCTCAAGCAGTCCTCCTGCGTCAGCCTCCCAAGTAGCTGGGATTACTGCACACTTGACTAATTTGTGTGTGTGTGTGTGTGCGGGCAGTCAGAATCTCACTATGTTGCCCAGGCTGGTTTCAAACTCCTGGGCTCAAGAGATCCTCCTGCCTCAGCCTCCCAAAGTGCTGGAATTGCAGATGTGAGCCACCGTGCCTGACATGTCTTTAAAAAGGCACGTCAGCTGGGCTCGGTGGCTCAGCCTGTAATCCCACGCTTTGGGAGGCTGAGGTGAGTGGATTGCCTGAGCCCACGGGTTCGAGACCCGCCTGGGCAGCGAGACCTCATCTCTACAATAAATCAAAAAATTAGCCGGGCGTGGTAGCTCGCGCCTGTAGTTCTGGCTACTTGGAAGGTTGAGGCAGAAGGATCACCGGAGCCCAGTAGATCAACGCTGGGGTGATTGTGAGTGTGCCACTGCACTCCAGCCTGCGCGACAGAGTGAGACTCCAACTCAAAAAAAAAAAAAAAAAAGGCACATCAACATAGAAAACTCATACAAACAGGGAAAAGTTAAGTAGGGACTTTTCTGCTGCCTGCTGAGAAAGAATGACATACCCAGTCCTATCCTCAAGGAAGGTGGCATAGGGATCCATTGAGTGCCCACAGGGAAGGTACCAGAGTGGTCTTCTTCACACACAGGCCTCAGCTCGAGGAACTGCAGACCCAAGCAGGGAGGCTGCACAAGCCTCCAAGGGGGGTGATAAAGAAGAGGGTTCTTTGTGTCTCAGGAGGGCGAGGTTTCACAAAGGAGATCTCAGAAGCACCAAGCTGGTGGCGCCCGGTGGCTCAGGTCATCCCAGCATTCTAGGAGGCCAAGGTGGAAGGAATACTCGAGCCCAGGGAACCAAGACCAGTCTGGGCAACATAGTGAGACCTCGTATCTACAAAAAAAATTTAAAAATTAGCCAGACTGAGAGAGAGAGAGAGAGAGAGAGAGGGAGAGAGAGAGAGAGAGAGAGAGAGAGAGAGACCCAGACTCAGAGAGGGAGAGAGAGAGAGAGAGAGAGAGAGAGAGAGAGAGAGACTTCTGAAGCACTAAGCAAAAAGGGGAAGGGGTCAGTGTGATCTCAACTTAATCAAGAACTTCTATTTGCCAAAGGACACTCAGAGTAAAGGGAAAGTGATCAAGGGTGGAAATCAAATTGCAACACAAGTGGCTTCAGTTTCCTGCTGTTGCTACAATGAACCATCACAAATGTAGTGGTTTAGAACAACATACTTTTTTGTTTTGAGTCGAGGTCTCACTCTGCCACCCAGGCTAGAGAGCAGTGACACGATCATAGCTCACCACAGCTTCGACCTCCTGGACTCAAGTGATCCTCTTACCTCAACCTCCTGAGTAGCTGGGACTACAGGAATGCGCCACCACACCCATCTAATTTTTAAAAATTTTTTTGTAAAAACAGTGTTGCTATGTTGCCCAGGCTGAACTTGAACTCCTGGGCTCGGGCAGTCTTCTCACCTTAGCCTCCCAAAGTGCTGGGATGACAGGCATGAGCCACCACACCAGGTCATAGTATTCCTTTATAATCATCTTTACTGGCTGTCTCAAAGGCCACTGTGCCCTTTGTCCTTGTGATAACACTGGGCCCTGGACAGTGGCTCACGCTTGTAATCCCAACACTTTGGGAGGATGAGGTGAGAGGATCTCTTGAGCCCAGGAGTTCGAGATCAGCCTGGGAAACATAGCAAGACTTTGTCTGTACAAAAAAATTAAAAAATTAGCTGGTGTGGTGGTATGTGCCTGTAGTCCCAGTTACTTGGGAGGCTAAGGCAGGAAGATCCCCTGAGCCCAGGAGATTGAGGCTGTGGTGAGCTGTGATTATGCCACTACACTCCAGCCTGTGTGACAGAGGGACAACTCAACTCAAGAAAAAAAAAAAAAAAAAAAAAGCGGCAATGGTATCTATTCAATAGAGTTCCGTACAGCCATGTAAATGACATAGCTAAATAACACAAAAGGAACTTGAATTTCACAAGTATAGAAGCAAAAGCAGCCAGTTCAAGAGACTATGTACTATTGATTCCATTTTAGTTAAAGTTTCTCAAAAGCAAAAATAACCCACAGTTTTTGGGTGTATACTTGGGTAGCAGACACATACAAGAAAAATAAGAAAATGATTGCATTTAGGGTGGGGTGGGATAGGCACTGGAAGGGACAGGAACTGGCCTTTTGGGAAGTAGGGCAATGCTCTGTTCTTGATCAGGGTGGTAATTGCAATTATCAGGTAAATTGCCAGATTTCTTAAAATTAATTAGTACCAAGAGGGTTTTGTTCATTAGGTAACTGAAATGCCTAAGGAGGAATTTGAATATTTTCCACTTATTTTTACAATTTAAAATGTTTGAAGGTATTTAATGAGCAAAAGTATAGCACCCCAAAATATGTAAGGGGTGACTATTAAGATATGCAGGCCTTATAAACAGACAAACAAGAACTGTAAGCCAACATTAAAATATGAAGGATCAGGCTAGGACACAGTGGCTCGTGCAATTCTAGCACTTTGGATTGCCTGAGCCCAGGAGTTCGGGACCAACCTGGGCAACATAGCGAGACCTCATTTCTACAAAAAAAGTAAAAAAAGAAGGATCAGCCATGTTTCTGAATTTACAGCTTTCAGAGAGTAAACATTCATTTTAAGAAGCAAAGCAAGGCGGGCTCGGTGGCTCAGCCTGTAATCCCACGCTTTGGGAGGCTGAGGTGAGTGGATTGCCTGAGCCCGCGGGTTCGAGACCCAACTGGGCAGCAAGACCTCATCTCTACAATAAATCAAAAAACCAGCCAGGCGTGGTAGCGCATGCCTGTAATTCCGGCTACTTGGAAGGCTGAGGCAGAAGGATCGCCGGAGCTCAGCAGGTTCAGGCTGCGGTGGCCGAGAGCGGCCACTGCACTCCAGTCTGGGCGACAGAGTGAGACTCCAACTCAAAAACATAAAATAAAATAAAATAAAATAAAATACAACTCATTCTCACTCCTTGCCAAATGAAACTTACATTCAATTTGACACGTGGCAATAACTTTTATCTTCTTTTGCTAATCCCCTACTTTTGTGTTTTAGATCATAAGAGTTGTTTTCAATTTCCCTGTAAGAAAATTATCCTTGCCGGGCTCGGTGGCTCAGCCTGTAATCCCACACTTTGGAAGGCTGAGGTGAGTGGACTGCCTGAGCCCGCGGGTTTGAGATTCGCCTGGACAACTTGGTGAGACCTCATCTCCACAACAAATCAAAAAAATTAGCCAGGCGTGGTAGCGCGCGCCTGTAGTTCCAGTTACCTGGAAGGCTGAGGCGGAAGGATGGCGGGAGCCCAGCAGGTCGAGGCTGCGGTGGCCGGGAGCGGCCACTGCGCTCCAGTCTGGGCGACCGAGTGAGACTCCAACTCAGAAAAAAAGAGGAAGAAGAAGAAACAAAGCAAACCTACAAAGAGAGAGTCTTCTATCCACCAGTTCCTCTGCAAAACTCAGTGAGCCTCTGTGATTTGAGGGATGAAACAAAATGAGTGGAAGACAATAAGCCTTCCTCCCCTCGGGTCAGTGCCATTCTTCCCAGCCATGAGATCTCTGAGGCAGGAGGGCAGGCATGGCTCTATCCAGCAGCATTCCGGCATCTGTAGGCATCCATACGGTCTTGTTTCTGTTCCTTTCTCTCCTTGCTGACCTTCTTTTATATTTGTTGAATATATTTTTAAATCCCATGTTCTCCTCTGTTGGCTTATGACTTATCCATTCTTTCCCAATTCGTTTGGTGTTCAGGCTTGAGATTACAGTATATATCCCTAACTTTTTACTGTTGAACATTATTATTATTAAATCATTCCTTCTGCCACTTTACCAATGAAAATCTTTATACACTTTTAACTACGTTGAACTCCCTCTTGCCTTGTATGTCTTTGTGGCTGTGCATTCTAGGAATACATTTATTTAAATGTACTATGAGATCTGGTTATTATTAATGTTTTGTTCCATCAGTGTTCACTTTCACCCACTCTGGAACGGTTATATTACCCCTTGCTTCTTCTTCCACTTCCTTTTTCAGTCTGGTATCATCTTCTTGCTGCCTGACACACTCTCTTTTATTGATATACAAGGTTTCCCCAAAACCCAGTTATTGATTCGTTAAAAACTGCACATTTAATCTCACGTGTTTAAATTTCAGTCACCTTCAAAGTGCTCTTCATTTGGTGCAATACACTGTTGAGACACTTCGTCCACTGCTCAAAACGATTTTTGAACTCATCCATTTTGATGTCTTTTAGTGCTTCTGCCATTTTTCATTACACCTCTTCCACATTGGCAAAATGTTTCCTTTCGAGAGCTTTTTTCATCTGGAGAAACAAACAAACAAACAAAGTTGCTGGGGTGAGATTGGATTCATGGGGAGGATGGGGCACAGAGGTCATGCCTTT